CCTCAGAGTGAAGAACCTCGTCCTCAGAGTGAAGAAACTTGTCCTCAGAGTGAGGCACCTTGTCCTCGGAGTGAAGAACCTTGCCCTCAATGTGAGGAACCTCGTCCTCAGAGTGAAGAAACTTGTCCTCAGAGTGAAGAACCTTGTCTCAGAGTGAGGAACCTTGTCCTACGAGTGAGGAACCTTGTCTCAGAGAGAAGAACCTTGTCCTCACAGTGAAGAACCTTGTCCTCAGAGTGAAGAACCTTGTCCTCAAATAAAGAACCTTATCCAGAGAGTGAGGAACCTTTTTCTCAGAGTGAGGAACCTTGTCCTCAGAGTGAGGAACCTTGTCCTCAGAGCGCAAAACCTTGTCCTCAGTGTGAGGAACCTTGTCGTCAGAGTAAAGAACCTTGTCCTCAGAGTGAAGAAACTTGTCCTCAGAGTGAAGAACCTCGTCCTCAGAGTGAAGAAACTTGTCCTCAGAGTGAGGCACCTTGTCCTCGGAGTGAAGAACCTTGTCCTCAAAGTGAGGAACCTTGTCCTCAGTGTGAGAAACCTTGTCCTCGTATTGAAGAACTTTGTCCTCAGAGTGAGGATCCTTGTCCTCAGAGTGAAGAATCTTGTCCTCAGAGTGCAGAACCTTGTCTTCAGAGTGAAGAACCTTGTCCTCAAAACGAGGAACCTTGTCCTCAGAGTGGAGAACCTTGTCCTCAGAGTGAAGAACCTTGTCCTCAGAGTGAAGAAACTTGTCCTCAGAATTTAAATAACCTTGTCCTCAAAGTATGGAACCTTGTCCTCATGTGAGGAACCTTGTCCTCAGATTGAAGAACCTTGTCCTTAGGACGAGGAAGGTTGTCGTTAGAGTGAGGAACCTTGTCCTCAGAGTCAGGAACCTTGTCCTCGGAATGAAGAACCTTGTCGTCAGAGTGAAGAACCTTGTTCTTAGAGTGAAAAACCTTCTCCTCAGAGTGAAGAACCTTGTTCTCAGAGTGAAGAACCTTGTCCTCAGAGTGACGAACCTTGTCATCAAAGAGAGGAACCTCGTCCACAGTGTGAGGAACCTTGTCCTCAGATTGAACAACCTTCTCCTCAGAGTGAGGGACCTTGTCCTGAGAGTGAAGAACCTTGTCCTCAGAGTGAAGAACCTTGTCCTCAGAGTGAAGAACCTTGTCCTCAATTTGAGGAACCTTGTCATCAGTGTGAGAAACCTTGTCCTCAGATTGAAGAACTTTGTCCTCAGAGTGAGGAACCTTGTCCTCTGAGTGAAGCGCTTTTTTCCTGAGTGTGAGGAACATTGTCCTCAGAGTGAAGAACTTTGTCCCCAGGGTGAAGAACCTTGTCTTCAGAGTGAAGGACCTTGTCCTCAGAGTGAACACTTTTGGCCTGAGTGTGACGAACCTTGTCCTCAGAGTGAAGAACCTTGTCCTCAGAGGGAAGAACGTTGTCCTCAGAGTGAAGAAACTTGTCCTCAGAGTTAAGAACCTTGTCCTCAGAGTTTAAATAACCTCGTCTTCAAAGGGAGGAACTTTGTACCCATGTGAGGAACCTTGTCCTCAGATTGAAGAACCTTGTCCTAAGAAGGAGGAAGGTTGTCGTCAGAGTGAGGAACCTTGTCCTCAGAGTCAGGAACCTTGTCCTCGGTATGAAGAACCTTGTCCTCAGAGTGAAAAACCTTGTCCTCAGAGTGAAGAACCTTGTCCTCAGAGTGAAGAACTTGTCCTCAGAGTGACGAACCTTGTCATCAAAGTGAGGAATCTTGTTCTCAGAGTGAAGAACCTTTTCCTCGGAATTAAGAACCTTGTCCTCAGAGTGACGAACCTAGTCCTCAGAGTGAAGAATCTTGTCGTCAGAGTGAAGAACCTTGTCCTCAGAGTGGAGGACCTTGTCCTCAAAGTGAGGAACCTTGTCCTCAGTGTGAGGAGCCTTGTCCTCGGAGTGAAAAACCTTGTCTTGAGAGTGAAGAACTTTGTCTTCAGAGTGAAGAACCTTGTCCTCAAAGTGAGGAAGCTTGTCCTCAGTGTGAGGAACCTAGTCCTCAGCGTGCAGCAGCTTGTCCTCAGAGTGGAGGACCTGGTCATCAGAGTGAAGAAACATGTCCTCAGAGTGAGGAACCTTGTCCTCAGAGTGAGGCACCTGCTCCACGGAGTGAAGAACCTTGTCCTCAGTTTGAAGAACCTTCTCATCTGAGTGAAGAACCTTATCTTCAGAGTGAAGAACCTTGTCCTCAAAGTGAGGAACCTTGTCTTCAGTGTGACGAACCTTGTCCTCAGAGTGAAGAACCTTATTCTCAGTGTTAGGAACCTTGTCCTCAGAGCGCAAAACCTTGTCCTCAGTGTGAGGAACCTCGTCCTCAGAGTGAAGAAACTTGTCCTCAGAGTGAAGAACCTGGTCCTCAGAGTGAAGAACCTAGTCCTCAGAGTGAAGAAACTTGTCCTCAGAGTGAAGAACCTCGTCCTCAGAGTGAAGAAACTTGTCCTCAGAGTGAGGCACCTTGTCCTCGGAGTGAAGAACCTTGCCCTCAATGTGAGGAACCTCGTCCTCAGAGTGAAGAAACTTGTCCTCAGAGTGAAGAACCTTGTCTCAGAGTGAGGAACCTTGTCCTACGAGTGAGGAACCTTGTCTCAGAGAGAAGAACCTTGTCCTCACAGTGAAGAACCTTGTCCTCAGAGTGAAGAACCTTGTCCTCAAATAAAGAACCTTATCCAGAGAGTGAGGAACCTTTTTCTCAGAGTGAGGAACCTTGTCCTCAGAGTGAGGAACCTTGTCCTCAGAGCGCAAAACCTTGTCCTCAGTGTGAGGAACCTTGTCGTCAGAGTAAAGAACCTTGTCCTCAGAGTGAAGAAACTTGTCCTCAGAGTGAAGAACCTCGTCCTCAGAGTGAAGAAACTTGTCCTCAGAGTGAGGCACCTTGTCCTCGGAGTGAAGAACCTTGCCCTCAATGTGAGGAACCTCGTCCTCAGAGTGAAGAAACTTGTCCTCAGAGTGAAGAACCTTGTCTCAGAGTGAGGAACCTTGTCCTACGAGTGAGGAACCTTGTCTCAGAGAGAAGAACCTTGTCCTCACAGTGAAGAACCTTGTCCTCAGAGTGAAGAACCTTGTCCTCAAATAAAGAACCTTATCCAGAGAGTGAGGAACCTTTTTCTCAGAGTGAGGAACCTTGTCCTCAGAGTGAGGAACCTTGTCCTCAGAGCGCAAAACCTTGTCCTCAGTGTGAGGAACCTTGTCGTCAGAGTAAAGAACCTTGTCCTCAGAGTGAAGAAACTTGTCCTCAGAGTGAAGAACCTCGTCCTCAGAGTGAAGAAACTTGTCCTCAGAGTGAGGCACCTTGTCCTCGGAGTGAAGAACCTTGTCCTCAAAGTGAGGAACCTTGTCCTCAGTGTGAGAAACCTTGTCCTCGTATTGAAGAACTTTGTCCTCAGAGTGAGGATCCTTGTCCTCAGAGTGAAGAATCTTGTCCTCAGAGTGCAGAACCTTGTCTTCAGAGTGAAGAACCTTGTCCTCAAAGTGAGGAAGCTTGTCCTCAGTGTGAGGAACCTAGTCCTCAGCGTGCAGCAGCTTGTCCTCAGAGTGGAGGACCTGGTCATCAGAGTGAAGAAACATGTCCTCAGAGTGAGGAACCTTGTCCTCAGAGTGAGGCACCTGCTCCACGGAGTGAAGAACCTTGTCCTCAGTTTGAAGAACCTTCTCATCTGAGTGAAGAACCTTATCTTCAGAGTGAAGAACCTTGTCCTCAAAGTGAGGAACCTTGTCTTCAGTGTGACGAACCTTGTCCTCAGAGTGAAGAACCTTATTCTCAGTGTTAGGAACCTTGTCCTCAGAGTGAGGAACCTTGTCCTCAGAGTGAAGAACCTTGTTCTCAGAGTGAAGTACCTTGTCCTCAGAGTGAAGGAACTTGTCCTCAGAGTGACGAACCTTGTCCGCAGAGTGAAGAACCTTGTCCTCAGAGGGAAGAAACTTGTCCTCAGAGTGAGGAACGTTGTCCTCAGGGTGAAAAACCTTGTTCTCGGAGTGAAGAACCTTGTCGTCAGACTGAGTAACCTTGTTCTCAGTGTCAGGAACTTTGTCCTCAGTGTGAGGAACCTTGTCCTCAAAGTGAGGAACCTTGTCCTCAGAGTGAACAACCTTGTCCTCAGACTGAAGAACCTTCTCCTCAGTGTGAAGAACCTTGCCCTCAGAGTGAAGAACCTTATCCTCAGAGTGAAGAACCTTTTTTTCAAAGTCAGGAACCTTGTCCTCAGTCTGAAAACCTTGTACGGGGAATGAAGAACCTTGTCCTCGGAGTGATGCACCTTTTCCTCGGAGTGAAGAACCTTGTCCTCAGTGTGAGGAACCTTGTCCTCAGAGTGGACAAACTTGTCCACAGAGCGAAGAACCTAGTTCTCAGACTGAGGAAACTTGTCCGCAGAGTGAGGAACCTTGTCCTCAGAGTGAAGAACCTACTCCTCAGTGTGAAAAACCTTGTCCTCAGAGTGAAGAACCTTGTCCTCAGAGTGAAGAACCTTGTCCTCAGGGAGAAGAACCTTGTCCTCAAAGTGAAGAACCTTGTCCCCAGAGTGAAGAACCTTGTCCTCAGTGTGAAGAACTTTGCCCTCAGAGTAAAGAACCTTATCCTCAGAGTGAAGAACCTTGTTCTCAGAGTGGAGAACCTTGTCTTCAAAGTGAAGAACCTTATCCTCAGAGTGAAGAACCTTGTCCTCCGGGTGAAGAACCTTGTCCTCTGAGTGAAGAACCTTGTCCTCAAATTGAGGAACCTTGTCCTCAGTGTGAGAAACCTTGTCCTCAGATTGAAGAACTTTGTCCTCAGAGTCAGGAACCTTGTCCTCAGAGTGAAGCGCTTTTTTCCTGAGTGTGAGGAACATTGTCCTCACATTGAAGAACCTTGTCGCCAAAGAGAAGAACCTTGTCTTCAGAGTGAAGGACCTTGTCCTCAGAGTGAAGCACTTTTGTCCTGAGTGTGAGGAACCTTGTCCTCAGTGTGAAGAACCTTGTCCTCAGATGGAATAACATTGTCCTCAGAGTGAAGAAACTTGTCCTCAGAGTGAAGAACCTTGTCCTCAGAGTTTAAATAACCTCGTCTTCAAAGTGAGGAACCTTGTACTCATGTGAGGAAGCTTGTCCTCAGATTGAAGAACCTTGTCCTAAGAACGAGGAAGGTTGTCGTCAGAGTGAGGAACCTTGTCCTCAGAGTCAGGAACCTTGTCCTCGGTATGAAGAACCTTGTCCTCAGAGTGAAAAACGTTGTCCTCAGAGTGAAGAACCTTGTCCTCAGAGTGAAGAACCTTCTCCTCAGAGTGACGAACCTTGTCATCAAAGTAAGGAACCTTGTCCACAGTGTGGGGAACCTTGTCTTCAGAATGAAAAACCTTGTCCTCAGAGTGAAGAACCTTGGCCTCAGAGTCCAGAACCTTGTCCTCAGAGTGACGAACCTTGTCATCAATGTGAGGAACCTTGTCCACAGTGTGAGCAACCTTGTCTTCAGAATGAAAAACCTTGTCCTCAGTGTGAAGAACCTTGTTCTCAGAGTGAAGAAATTTGTCCTCAGAGTGACGAACCTTGTCATCAAAGAGAGGAACCTCGTCCACAGTGTGGGGAACATTGTCCTCAGAGTGAAGAACCTTGTCCTCAGAGTGAAGAACCTGGTCCTCAGAGTGAAGAACCTTGTTCTCAGAGACCTTGTCTTCAGAGTGAGGAACCTTGTCCTCAGAGTGAGGAACGTTGTCCTCAGAGTGAAGAACGTTGTCCTGAAAGTGAGGAACCCTGTTCTCAGTGTGAGGAACCTTGTCCTCAGATTGAACAAGCTTCTCCTCAGAGTGAGGAACCTTGTCCTCAGAGTGAAGAACCTTGTCCTCAGAGTGAAGAACATTGTCCTCAGAGTGAAGAACCTTGTCCTCAAATTGAGGAACCTTGTCCTCAGTGTGAGAAACCTTGTCCTCAGATTGAAAAACTTTGTCCTCAGAGTGAAGCGCTTTTTTCCTGAGTGTGAGGAACATTGTCCTCAGAGTGAAGATCCTTGTCCCCAGGGTGAAGAATCTTGTCTTCAGAGTGAAGTACCTTGTCCTCAGAGTGAAGCACTTTTGTCCTGAGTGTGAGGAACCTTGTCCTCAGGGTGAAGAACCTTGTCCTCAGAGTGGAGAACGTTGTCCTCAGAGTGGAGAAACTTGTCCTCAGAGTGAAGAACCTTGTCCTCAGAGTTTAAATAACCTCGTCTTCAAAGTGAGGAACCTTGTACTCATGTGAGGAACCTTGTCCTCAGATTGAAGAAGCTTGTCCTAAGAACGAGGAAAGTTGTCGTCAGAGGGAAGAACCTTGTCCTCAGAGTCAGGAACCTTGTCCTCCGTATGAAGAACCTTGTCCTCAGAGTGAAAAACCTTCTCCTGAGAGTGAAGAAGCTTGTACTCAGAGGGGAGAACCTTGTCCTCAAAGTGAGGAACCTTGTCCCCAGTGTGAGGAACCTTATCCTCAGAGTGATGAATCTTGTCCTCCGAGTGAAGAACCCTCTCTTTAGAGTGAAGAACGTTGTCCTGAGAATGAAGAACCTTGTCCTCAGTGTGAAGAACCTTGCCCTCAGGGTGAAGAACCTTATCCTCAGAGTTAAGAACCTTGTACTCAGAGTGGAGAACCTTGTCCTCAAAGTGAGGAACCTTGTCCCCAGTGTGAGGAACCTTATCCTCAGAGTGAAGAATCTTGTCCTCCGAGTGAAGAACCCTCTCTTTAGAGTGAAGAACCTTGTCCTCAGTGTTAGGAACCTTGTCCTCAGAGCGAAGAACCTTCTCCTGAGGACGAAGAAACTTGTCCTCAGAGTGAGGAACCTTGTCGTCAGAGTGGAGAACCTAGTTCTCAGTGTCAGCAACCTTGTCCTCAGTGTGAGGAACCTTGCCCTCAAGGTGAGGAACTTTGTCCTCAGAGTGAAAAACCTTGTCCTCAGAGTAAAGAACTTTGTGCTCAGAGTGAAGACCCTAGTCCTCAGAGTGAAGAACCTTGTCCTCTGAGTGAAGAACCTTGTCCTCAGAGTATAGAACCTTGTCCTCAGAATGAAGAACCTTTTCCTCAGAGTGAAGACCATGGTCCTTAGAGTGAAGAACCTTGTCCTCAGAGTGAAGAACCTTGTCCTCAGAGTATAGAACCTTGTCCTCAGAGTGAAGAACCTTGTCCTCAGAGTGAAGAACCTAGTCCTCAGAGTGAAGAACCTTGTCTTCAGAGTGAAGAAGCTTGTCCTCAGAGTGAACAACCTTGTCCTTAGGGTGAAGAACCTTGTCCTCAGAGTGAAGAACCTTGTCCTGAGAATGAAGAACCTTGTCCTCAGTGTGAAGAACCTTGCCCTCAGAGTGAAGAATCTTATCCTCAGAGTGAAGAACATTGTACTCAGAGTGAAGAACCTTGTCCTCAGAGTGAAGAACCTTGTCCTCAGAGAGAAGAACCTTATCCTCGGAGTGAAGAACCTTGTCGTCATAGTGAAGAACCTTGTCCTCAGTGTGAAGAACCTTGCCCTCAGAGTGAAGAACCTTATCTTCAGAGTGAAGAACCTTGTCCTCAGAGTGGAGAACCTTGTCCTCAAAGTGAGGAACCTTGTCCTCAGTGTGAGGAACCTTGTCCTCAGAGTGAAGAACCATGTCCTCAGACTGAGGAACCTTTTTCTCAGTGTCAGCAACTTTGTCCTCAGTACGAGGATCCTTGTCCTCAAAGTGAGGAACCTTGTCCTCAGAGTGAAGAACCTTGTCCTCAGAGTGAAGGACCTTGTCCTCAGAGTGAAGAACCTTGTCCTTAGAGTGAAGAACCTTGTCCTCAGAGTGAAGAGCCTTGTCCTCAGGGTGAAGAACCTTGTCCTCAAAGTGAAGAACCTTGTCCTCAGGGTGAAGAACCTTGGCCTCAGAGTGAAGAACCTTATCCACAGAGTGAAGAACCTTGTCCTCAGAGTGAAAAACCTTGTCCTCAAAGTGTGAAACCTTGTCCTCAGAGTGAAGAACCTTGTTCTCATTTTGAAGAACCTTGTCCTCTGTGTGAAGAAACTTGTCTTCAGAGTGAAGTACCTTGTCCTCAAAATGAGGAACGTTGTCCTCAGTGTGAAGAACCTTTTCCTCAGAGTGAAGAACCTTGTCTTCAGAGTGAGGAACCTTGTCCTACGAGTGAGAACCTTGTCTTCAGAGTGAAGAACCTTGTTCTCAGAGTGAAGAACCTTGTCCTCAGAGTAAGGGACCTTGTTCTACGAGTGAGGAAACTTGTCCTTAGAGTGAAGAACCTTGTCCTCAGAGTGAAGAACCTTGTCGTCGGAGTGTAGAACCTTGTCCTCAGAGTGACGAACCTAGTGCTCAGAGTGAAGAACCTTGTCCTCAGAGTGAAGTACCTTGTCCTCAGAGGGAAGAACCTTGTCCTCAGAGTAAAGAACCTTGTCCTAAGAGTGAAGAACCTTGTCCTCAGAGTGAAGATCCTTGTACTCAGTGTGAAGAACCTTGCCTCAGAGTGAAGAACCTTATCTTCAGAGTGAAGAACCTTCTCCTCAGAGTGGAGAACCTTGTCCTCAAAATGCGGAACATTGTCCTCAGTGTGAGGAACCTTGTCCTCAGAGTGAAAAACCTTCTCCTCAAAGTGAAGAACCTTGTCTGCAGAATGAAGAACCTTGTCCTCAGCGTGAGGAACGTGGTCCTCAACGCGAGGAACTTTGTCCTCAGCGTGAGGAACCTTGTCCTAAGCTTGAGGAACCTTGTCCTCGGCGTGAGGAACCTTGTCCTCGGGGTGAAGAACCTTGTCCTCATCAGCGTGAGGAACCTGGTTCTCAACGTGAGGAACCTTGTTTTCGGTGTGAGAAACCTTATCCTCGGCGTGAGGAACCTTGTCTTCAGCGTTAGGAACATTGTCCTCAGCGTGAGGAACCTTGTCCTCAGCGTGAGGAGCATTGTCCTCAGCGTGAAGAACCTTAAAAAGGCCTCCGAAGTGACGAAAGAAGAGGGGCTTTGAAAATATTTACCAGTTTGAATAAAACGTCACTAGTTTTAAAAACTTAACAACAAATAATGTTTATAGACTTGATATTTATAAATGGAAGCCAAGTCTCTTATGTTCATGTAAATAGACAATTCCCATTGTAGACTAATTTTAGAACTAGGCAAAGAGATGCAAATCAATGCCGAATTTTGGTGAAAATGGTGGGGGAGGTTTGAAAAAAATGTTAGGGGCGGTGCAGCAGTCTAGCTCACAACCCCCATGGAAGATTAGGGCTTGTTGTAGAACAACCCAATATCAACAAGGTGAGGTATGCATGTAGTGTACATATTACCAGTTTATTAATTAATTATGAATGTATGACTCCAATCTTGCCTTTCATTGCAATTGCTACAAAGTTTCTTTCAAAACATTGCATTAACAGTGTACTTGACACAGATATGAATGGCTATCACTGTTTCAATTTTACAGAGAAAACTTTCTTATGTCACGAAGTGTAGATCCTAAGCAACCATCACATTTTCACTTTGTTCCATCATTGAAACTTTCCGAAGGGGAGGTGCATGACCTTTCAGGAGAAATGCAAAAATTCTCAGGGGAGGTGCAAAACGATCTCGGGGAGGTGCGCACCTCTCCACACCTCCCCTCAAAATCCGGCCTTGATGCAAATAAATCACCATTGGTAGAAAGAGCATACTAAAATAAGTAATTTATTTCAAAGTTTGGTTGTGAGATGTTGTAAAATACGGAAAATATAGCCTTGCAAAGTTTGCAAATTTTGTATACTTTTGTATTGCATGCGAAAATTGCAATACAAAAGTATACAAAAAATTTTTGCAACTTTGGAAGGCTATACATTTTCTACATTTTACAACATTTTGCAACCAAACATTGCAATTTTATTAATTTTAGTATGCCCTTCCCGGGAATATACTTTTTTAGTCTATAATGGGAATTGTCTATTGGTCCCCATTATCTATTTGTGTTTCTCTAAATAAAGAGCTAGAGTTTTTGTTTCACTAAATAAAGATAAAGAGCTGGGGGGGGGGTTAAAATTTATGATCTTGTTTTGCCTGTTGGGGGGGGGGGCTTTGAAAATTTTACTTATCTTAAGAGGTGGGCAACGAAAAAATATTATAACTGTAGAGTTTCTCCTCAGTCTCCCCCTGTACAATAAATAATGAGCAGTCCCTAACTAAACTTCCCGGTTAGATCGCGAGACACGGAACCGTATAAATCAATGAATATTGATAGGTTTTTATTCGATCTAGTAATTATAAGGAATAATAATTGTGAAGTATAGCGCTAGCTAGAATAACAAATAGTGCCTGATATATACCTGTGCGCTCTCTTCGAGTTATATACAGCATAATTTCAATAAATGAGACTTACTTCTTTGCCAGGTCTTCGCAATCTAGTCTTACTGATACACTCAATACAAATACAAATACAATACAGGTTAGCTTCAACACAGGTTAGCACATCTCCTTCATTTAACACTATAAGTCTTTGTCTCAATCTATCTAAATAAATGTGCGTCAAATTACGTGTCAATCAGGTTAATCTCTTTAGTCATGCATTAATTTAATCAGTTAATAATTATCTCGGAAAATATATAAAGTTCTGTCAGCGACACAAATACAATTTTGTAATTAAGTTCTTTGTATGTTTGCATGGCGATAAAATATATAATAGTTTTGTTTGTGGAAACATCATGTAAATTTATTACCGCAAAGCTTTCGATCCGTAAGTCCGGATCTTCATCAGTGCTAATAATATGATATTATTAGCACTGATGAAGATCCGGGCTTACGGATCGAAAGCTTTGCAGTAATAAATTTACGTGGTGTTTCCACAAACAAAACTATTATAATTTTGTAATAATGTTTTCAACTTTTTGACAACAAATTAAATTACATACATTTGCAGCGTTTCATAGGAAAAGGTTAAGCATCAGGAGTTTTAATTTTACTTTCAAGAGAGTTTAAACTAGCTTTTAGTATAGGCCGATATTTTGCATTTTAATTTTATAATTTATATAGTATAATCTCGAATGGTCCTTGCCAGTGTAGGTATAGCGACGATAACAATGCAGCTGCGGATCGAAAAAGACATATACTGCATAAATTACACACTCTGTGAATATGAATATTTTAACTGTATCTGTTTCATAGAAACATATAGACATGCCGTAAACAGATTATTTAAGGCTGTTGTTGTCGATTATTGTAGGCTGCTGTTGTCGTTGTGCTTTTGTTAAGGAAACTTTTACAATTAAATTAAACTATTTCTTACGGCGGCCAGTAAACGATTGGTTGATATTTTATTCAACGCGTCGCTTTCCCCAGCAGGTGTCCAAATCATACATTTTCCAGACAACAAATACGGCACTGAAGACGCTGAGTAAGCCAAATATCAATCAGAATCCGGTTAAAATATAGAATATATTCATCTCGAATATATATAACGGCAAATAATGTCAGGTCGTAAAAGAAGATCGCGTTCAAAGAACTCACCCGAACCACCAAAGAAGAAAGCCAGTGAGCCAGGTAAATATAAATAATGATATTTAACTGCTATAGCTGTTAAAAGGAGCTAGCCGTGCCAGCTGGTGAGGTGTATATTGGATACAATGATATATAGTTTACTAGTCGCTTGATACTCGCTGTGTTCGGACGTATATAAGCAGTGAAGTTATTTTGAACACTCGTGCAATTTCTATTTAGAAACATTTAAGGCCGGTTGAACGCTTTCAAACGGTTTGATTTATGTGCCATGCTTGTTTTGCAAAGGCGGAAGTGCAGGCCGCACAATATAGCACTGCCAGCACATGCATGTTGAGTTGATTTTTGCTGAGTCCATGCAATCTACAGTATATGGAGCCCCGGTCAAACAGTTGAAACTCTCGTTGCCGTTGGAGTTTGACCGCCAACTAACATCAACTCTCATCAAAACTGGCTCAAATTTGAATGATATAGTTGATGAGTTTGTGCTGCGCGCGCGCTAATATTCAGTCGACTTTTGTCAACTCTGACATGATCTCATTGAGAGTTGAGAAAACTCTCATGCAAACTCTGGCTCCTCAACCATCACCAACTCCCATTCTGGTTTGACCAGAGCTTATATACTAATATAATGCTACGGACAAAAATATTTTTGGTAACAGGATTTCCTTCACGAAAGTGCAAACCCTATAGTACGTAATGATAAAATATTAATTTCCCTACTTGATACGGTGCATGTGGTAGCAATAATTCCCTTACTATGGGCCTATATAGGTAGGTATAATACTGTTTTAGGAGTATTTCATTTAAAGTATATATTTCAAAAAGCATAGGTATAGATCAGTATGGTGCATGTACAACGGAGACGTTTTCATCTCGATTTATATGTATATATACTGTACAAAGAGACGTGTATAACTGTATATATTTATCCACTGATACACAAGCCAAAAACTTGTGGAATTAATCTTGAAAATTATTGGCGTTCATAAGAAGTCACCAAGGAATCAAGTATATTATATCTATTGGATCAATTTAAATTGGGAATTCTGCACGTATATATATATATATACAATGTAAATACGTGCGGATCGCCGGCAAATACAAATTGAGCCGAGCCGCTCGGAGTTTTGAGCGATATAAAGGCATGCACTTCGTCTGAAACTGAAAGTTAGGACTCCTACAAGTCCGGGTGAATAGGGTTTAATATTTACCTGTAACAGAATATGAGCAACTCTATACACGCAAGCGTATAAATTACTACAAACAGATAAACAGATATATTATAGATATCTATAAATTAGTAAATATGAACAAGAAAGAAATCAGTCGGGAATATCAGGGATAGATAAGTGTACTGCGTTTACATAAACATATTTGATATATTTGACAAATCCATATGAAATCTGTTAGGGACTGTTGACACGAGCCGGACCTGCCCCGCCGGATGAATCGTGTCATGATTTTTTCCAAGAAAGATCGTTCCTATGAAAGATCCCTGGAACTTCATACTGTTACTGGAATCCGCAAACTAAGCTAATTTAACTGTAATTAAATCCAAAACAAAAATTGTTAACCGGAGTTTCGTTTTCATTTTCATTCGAGAATGAAATTGTTAACAATTTACCGAGTGTTTAATTAATTACAAAACTCTATGGCAACCGTAATTTTCATTCATCTTTGAAATGTCATTTTGGATGTTTATCAAAACCGGCAATAACTTTATTGCGCTAGCCCTGCTAAATATGGCATAATCGGCGTTTTAAAACCTTGTAAATCTTAAATTACTCTTCGGCAATTTAATAGCGCCCAAAATTCCTGCATTATGCGTGGGAACAGGCTCATGGGCTCATGGTTACTTAAAATTTGCATGAAAGCAAGTGCATGGTTATAATTTAGTTTAATTACAATTTGTATTATAAAGTGAAACTGAAATATATCAGGGTTGTTAACTGTTAACTGAATCCAAGACACAACAAATCTACAGCGAAATGATTTGATTTCGATGATGTAAAATCTGTCGTTTGCGTTGGTTTGGTCGCATGTGTAAAGGCGGATTTCCATTCAGTGCAAAATGTTGCGCGATCGACTTTTTGCGATCGCTTTCTTTTGAAATACAAACAGTGGAGCGGAACGAATCTCATTAGCTGTAGTTGACTGCACATGCACATTTCAAGAGAAAGCGATCGCAAAAAATCGATTGTGGGACATTTTGCACTGAATGGAAATCCGCCTTAATGGTACCCTGGTTCCAGAGGTTTATTTTTATTATTTTCATTGCGAAGGGGAGAGGAAAAATAAACCTCTGGTTGAAAGCGGCAATTGATTCATCGAGCCGTGCCAATCAGTTTGAATTAGGGTCAGATCCTGACTCTGTCTCCTGATTGGATGATTGTATTAAAGCTCTCTGATTGATTCAAATAAAACATCTATAACCAATCAGAGAGCTTTAATACAATCATCCAATCAGAAGACAGAGTCAGGATCTGACCCTAATTCAAACTGATTGGCGCGGCTCGATGAATCAATTGCCGCTTTCAACCAGAGGTTTATTTTAAACCTCTGGAACCAGGGTACCTTAATGGCGGTAATGGTGAGATTTTTGCTCTAAGCGGTTAATCACCCATATAATGAGATTCTGGTCTGCCTTTGTGTCCTTAAAGAGTGTTAATTCCGCTACTTAATCCAAGTATCCAACGACATCAGCAACGGCCGAGTTCACAACGCACTTTCAAATTGTCACTGAGAAAAAATTGCCGCCGAACTCAATGTGAGTCAGGCTATATGTAAGAAATCACCCGATTTTGGGTGGCAAAAATAGTGGACTGCGGAGAAAACCATTTCTGTTTGAAGCACTTTTGCTTTCGCCAGAAAATTTCGTTTCTGAATTCGTTTTGACCATGATGTTTAAATGAAAGCGATAAGCTATGGTGTCCCATGTCCGCCAAAAATCAACTTTTGCATTTCACTATATGATATTTTGAGGATCATATTCATTTCATTAAAATAACATTGTTTTTGAAGATCACCAGTTTATCGGTTGAAAACACAACTTATTTTTTGAAGACCAACTTTTGAAGACCAACTTTTGAAGACCAACTTTTGAAGACCAACTTTTGACTTTTGAAGATCAACTTTTGATACCCAACCGCAATCCAATGTCTTTGTTGTTCGCGGGCTCATTTATTATGTTTTCAAAATGGAGGAAGAAGACAAACAATACTTGCTACAGCCTACAGGCGATTTTTGATGTGATAAATTCCATCGACCGTTTTTCACAGTCTCGAGACGCTAATGTAGACTACATAAGAGCTTATGCTTAAACTTGATTTTTTACAACGGTAATTGCTAGTAAATATGAATCTTGATTATTCGATATGTGCAAACGTTGGAGAGGCATATAACATTCTTTTCAATATGGAACAAGTGGAATACCAATGCAGACAATAGGATATCCGAAGGGGGTAGGGGGGTTAACTTCTAATTTCCTCCGTGAGGGTGGTATGGATGTTTTCTGGAATGACCCATTGGTAAACAGAGAGAAACAGGATAATGTATTGTCCTAGAACATAGATATCCTAATATGTTACCAGGGCCGCCGAGAGGGGGGGGGGCAGGGGGCAAATTGCCCCCGGGCATCGAGTTGCTGGGGGCCCCTGAAAAATTTTTGTTGGGCCCCAGCCTTTTTTGTGTGTTAAATATTTTGGCGCAAAGGACAAGATATCTGTTTTCTTGGGCTAAGTACCGAATTTTGGCATAAAAAAATGAGATAAAGTCCCTCGAAAGCAATTGCAACGTACTCATCCGGAAAAATATTGTACTCCGGAAAAAATTTTTTACCCCTAAAATGGTACACTGAC